CACGGCTGCCTCGCAAGCAAATAATCCACTAGTGATAAGACCATTGGTTAGTACTGTAAGATTTTAATGATGCATTTCAAACATTCACCACTTGATGGAACCAAACAACGGACAAAATGGCTCTTTAAAATTGACATCCAAGACGATAGGTGGCAGCACTCGTAGTTCCGGGCTTTTCGTGTTCTATTTATAACCAAGACGTCGACGGTCACTCTTTAAAAAAAAGAAGCTTTTAATGAATATCTACATCTTTATTTTAAAACTTAGCTCACATTATATTCGCTGGATTTAACGATACCTTCAACAATGCGCCCATGGTAACGTAATATGACCGAATTCAGACGTTAATCGTTTTGTTTAGAAGCTAATGCTAAGGTTGCTAAGAACAGTCCGTACATGTATGGTTTAAAAAGTGCTATTAAAAGATTTATGTTAACGCTATCTTTAAGAAACCAACATATTTGACTTGTGTAAAACAACTGAACATTTAATTCCCGGGATAATGTTGTAATTGTTGGTAAATTAGCAACTTTCCATCTGAAATGGTTTAGTTTAAGTTTAAGTTTAAAAAGTTTAAGTTTAAGTTTAAGTTTAAGTTTAGGACTGTGTTCAATACATTATCATTGGACTTGGTTCAATTACAGCCACTCCACATGGCAGCCTTTGGCTTTACTCCAGCCAATAATGAAGACTTTTTCAGTGCCGGAGCAAAACAACAGTCTCGCTGTAAATTCAAAAGTGCACTTAGTGGGGAAGAGATCAGGAATTTCTATGAGGGTTTGATAAAAGGAGGAGACGAAGAACCAAAGTCGTCAAAAAGTGAATTTAACAAGAGAACCAATGGGAGAAGCCGTGTGAGTAAACCAAAAAATAGAGACTCTATTAGAAGACAAAGAAGAGTTGGAGATGCAGAGGTGCAGCGGGATCAGGCCGGATCAGCAGCTCCTCAAGGAGGTGGAGAAGCTGAGGCGACACCGAGGGAGAGGAGCGACTCAGAAAGGTGTGTGGAGCTCCTGGGGCTGCGGTTTCTGCGCTGTGCTCACACAGGTGACATACCTGGACTCAGAGACCTGCTGTCAAAGGGGGTGGACATTAACTTTCAGGTACAGTGTTGACCGTTTACTTCCTTTGAATATGAAATGTTTTTCACATTTAAGTGAATCCATTGGAACAAAAGAAAACACTTGTTTTGTGTTGATTTGTAGGATACATATTTATGGACGGCCATAATGTGTGCAAGTTGGTCTGGACAAAGAGCTGCAGTGAAGCTCCTGCTGCAGCACGGAGCTGCCTGGGTTGGAGTGGTGGACATGCAGGGAAGAGATGCTACACACCTGGCAGTGGAGGGTATAAAATTCATCTTTTGCCTCAACTGTGTGTTCCTTTTTTTATCAGTTAAAAAACAGTATCGTTCTCTGATTTACAGCTGGCCACAAAGATGTGCTGGAAGAGCTGGAGAACTATGGAAAACACAAGCCAAAGGAAACAAAATCTGACAGGTCAGCACGTCAAACTGTAATCTTGTATCATGTGAAGAGAATCTAATATCTTGTAATTTTCAACAGCAAAATTACATTGAATTCCTCATGTGTCCCATTAGAAGAAATGTAAGAAGAAATGTTTGTGAGCTGAAAATGAGGCAGAAAAGAAACCCTAAAGGTTTTCCTGTATCTTCTCTCTAGCGCCCTCCAGATGCAGTGGTGTGAAGTGTGTGGTTCTAGTTACAGCAGCAGCAGCCTGTCGTCACACCTCTCCTCCACTCTCCATCAGTTCAGTCTGCACCGGCCTCCACCCACACCCTTCTACTGTCTACCTGCCTCGAGCAACAGCTACAAGATGATGCTTCGCAGCGGCTGGACGCCAGGGAGAGGCCTGGGGCCAGAGGGGGAGGGTCCTCACCAGCCGGTACCTACGGTGCTGAAAAGAGACCAGAAAGGACTGGGCTACGGACCGGTGAAGAGAGCCAAGGTTACACACTTCCAAGCCAGAGACCGCGATGCAGTGAAACCACCAACACAGGTGAAGGAGGAGAGGATAGGAAAAGGGAAGAGGAAGGAAGACAGTAGGAGGAAGGAGCAGAGAGACAAGAACTGGGAAAGAGATTTCCGAGCCTCTTTTTATCTTTGACACCTGTTCAAAGTGACTTTCTGCGACATTTCTTGTTTTGCCAACAGCAGACGTAAATCAAAAGATTATCCGGAAGCTGTCTCAGAACGACTGCACTACCTCTCATTGGACGGGACGACTCAGTAGAACAGTGGAACCAAGAGCCAGGTGCTGGGGATTTGAACCCGTGACTCTCAGACTTCAGTTTGGACTGTTGAGAGCTGATGTAATGTGTTTATTAAACTGAGGCTGATGCTAACGTTGTATGAGCTAACATAAATCCATGTGGTCGGCCTCAGTGTTGGTGAGCTGATCTTTGGTCGTGTCACTTCCTGTAGGACAGGTTGTGAAAGGATCAGATTCAGGACCTGAGTGATCAGTGAGGCACGTGTTTCTGTTGAGTCATGATCATTGTTTGTCTGCTGTAAACCAGCTCTTTATCAGAACTATAAAACATTGGCTCTGATTAGATGTTGCTGGATTGAAGCTTTTATTGCCGTAAGACTCAAACCAAGGCATCGACCTTTAACCTTTACCTAAACTAACCACAATCTTTTATTTCAATATTAGATATTTTTAACAAATATTTTTTTCCACTGGAGAATTCTGTTGAGAAGTTTAGTGAACACGCTGTCGTCTCTCAGCTAATGCTAACCAGTCATTGTGATCTCACTAACATGTAACTGTTGACTGTTACTTTGAAGGAAACAGAATGTGACCCTGAACCACTGCAGCAGTGAGTACAGCCGTTGGTCGGGGCAGCTGGGCAGTAGGTGAGGTCACTGCGGCCCCTGTGGGCAAAAAAAAAACAAAACATCTAAGTTCAATCTTAGCCCCAGAATGTGAACCTATGTAAAGGTTCGAATCCACCAACTGCCAGGTTACCACTGAGATGCACTGAGCATGGCATCGTCCTCAAGCACTGCTCCCCGAGCGCTGACCACGGCTGACCACTGTTCACTTTGGTGATGGGTTAAATGCAGAGGTTAAATTTCGTTGTGCTGTGCTGTGCTGTGTCACAATGACAAATAAAGATAAGTTTAAATGTGTGTGTGTGTCTAAAACAACATGACCTTTTTATGATTATGAACAAATACAGGTTTAAAATGAAAAAAACTAAGATTACAGGAGAGTTTCTAATATGTTTCCATTCACTCACTGAAGTGCTGATCACTTTGGTAAAGATTTTAAAGAATATATTAGTCTGCGTTTTCAGCGGTCTTAAGGTCTGTGGTTGGTGTCTGTTAAAGTGTGCGTCGAACATTTAACCGTTTTAAATCATTGTTTTGAGAAGATAAATGCTAAATGAGTGACGAGTTCCATCCTCGACGCTTAAAGAGCTCAGAGAAAATTGACGTCGTCGTAATTTAATAAATGATGTCGTCAGTTTGGTTAAAAAACGGTGCTTTTTACAAACGTTTATTATAGTTTGTTTTTTTTGTCTTTTTATTCTCTATATTTGTAAATTTGGACTTATCGCAGCTTCTCCTGGTCCAAACATTTCCTCTGGTCTTCCTTCCACTGGTGTCGGATTGTTTACTGTTACGTAATTATGCAGAAGTATGGGGGCGTGGCTTCTACTTTTACGCTTGCGCAGAAGAATGGACCAATCGATGCGTCTTCCTTACCTGGCGATGACGTTACAAGTTGATTATTGTCGATGTTTTGACCTGAAGCAAGTCGTTGATGTGGAGAAAACATCCATGTTTATTTATGATGGTTTTGTTTATTCACAACAACTTTAGTGAATAGTGAATAGATGAATATGTGCGTTTGATTAATGGACTAACTTCATGAGACAATGTTTGACAAAAAAAGTCAAGAGATGTCACTAAGTTTGTGTTGATATTGTAAATGTTTGTGAAGCTGAGTCTGGTCCAGACACAGTGTCCAGTTTCAGGTCTGTTATTTTGGGGAGGATTGGCTGTTTTACTGTTGTTTGTTTGTTTGTTTGTTTGTTGACATGAACATCTACATAACATTTTTTTTAAAAGTGAATGTGATTTACTGTCATTCTGGCACAGCACACAGCCCAGCCTCTGTGGGGACTTGGACTCAAACCACTGAGCCACCGCTGCCCCACAAACATTCATGACTCGACCTATGACCCCACGTAGAGGCCATACCTTCATATTAACATCCACTGTCGTTGTCGTGACAGTGGATTTAACAGACTTGTCACACGACGACTCCAACCGTTCCTGGTCCTATTCTGAAGTGTACATATATATATATATATATATATATATACGTGTGTCCCTCGTGATGCAGGCGTGTGTTCATTGGTCTTTTGAGTCACAGTGTTTTAAACTCTGACATAGATCAGAGAGCAGATTAAAGTCGACGCTGCTGTCAATCATTCACCCTGTACTGCTGTCATTAGTTGAACTCTTACACACGGCAGGTATTAAAGGTCTGTCGTTACGTCTGAGCGCTGTAGAAACTCTCTGCTACCATCGACACAGCACCAGAACCTTCCAGCCATGGCCCACTTCCTGTACCTGTCAGCTGAGACCTGGACGCTCCTGGTCGCCTTCATCACACTTTTAGTAGTGTAAGTCACTGAGCTCGTCTGACCTTTCTGTTGTCTGTGACAGAATTGGTTTTGATTGATTATTTTTCTTATTTTTCCTCCTCACAGATATGCCTACTGGCCATATGGAGTGTTCAAACGACTGGGCATCCCTGGTCCCAAACCAGTGATGTTTTTTGGCACCATGTTGGGATACAGAGAGGTGTGTAGCTGTTGACCTTAACCCTTCCACCACTTCAGAGTTTTGATAACGAACAACATTATTTAAAAATGTTAATTCAGCACATTTTTGATCAGGGTTGATGTGAACATCTGGTATTTAGAGAAATCTCTCTACATGTTGTACTTGGTGTGGACTAAAATGTGTTTCTTTGATCAGGGCTTCATTAAGTTTGACGAGGAATGCTTCAAGAAATATGGACGAACGTGGGGGTAAAACTTCACACGACTGTTACACAGTACCTCCTGCAAACATTCGTAATGAGTCCTGTCACATCCATCGTCGTGTCTGTCTGAGACAGATAGAAAGCTACGACCTAATGTTGTTTCGTTTGTTTATTTTCAGCATTTATGACGGCCGTCTGCCGGCGCTGTGTATCACAGACCCTGCCACCATCAAAACTGTTCTGGTCAAAGAGTGTTACAACCTGTTTACCAACCGCAGAGTACGTACACACACACACACACACACACACACATATACATCTGTACAGATATATTTATGTGTGTTTGCATAATTGAAGAAAGTAACTTAAGAAAGTCTAATGTTAACCTTAAACTGTTGACTGTCGGCGGTCCACGTGTCTTCACTGTCTGTTCCAGAACTTCCATCTGAACGGACCGCTGTACGACGCCGTCAGCATCGCGGAGGACGAGCAGTGGAAGAGGATCCGTGGAATCCTTTCTCCCTTCTTCACCTCAGGGAGACTGAAGGAGGTAACGTTCCTGTCTGTGATGAAAAAAACCTTCTTTTAACAACAAATGACTGGACAGTAACAACTGCTGTGTTGAAATGTACACTTTTTCTAGGATAAAACTTAGAAGACGATGTATCTTATCTTACTAACATGGATTAAAATAAAATCCCAAGTCAACAAAAAGTCCACACACACAAGAGTAAAACAATCATTAAAATAAACACAATAATAACAAATGATACTTTTTTGCAAAAACATCAACAGGGGCCTCTATGGGCCAACAGAGGTACTGCACATTATGATTTATGAGTTTTGTTGCTTTAAAAAAAACAAAACAACTTTTATCTCACAACCATCAAATCCCCTGGGATTTTCCTCACTGGTGCTTTTATTCTGAAAGTCTTTTGTGCAGGACATGTGTGTAGCTCTAGCAGACCGTCACTCACTACTGTTAAATGGTTGCTCCAGATGTTTGTCCTGATGAAGCAGCACTCGGCCAACCTGATCAGCAGCATGAAGAAGAAGGTGGAGAAGGACGAGCCGCTGGAGCTGAAGGAGTGAGAAGCTTCATCTTCACACAGACCATGTTCCATCAGAGCATAACAAACATGTGATCCACAGTCTGAGCGCTGTGCTCACTCCGCAGGTTCTTTGGTCCCTTCAGCATGGACACGGTGACCAGCTCAGCCTTCAGTGTTGACATCGACTCTCTGAACAACCCTGCCGACCCCTTCGTCAGCAACATCAAGAAGATGCTGAAGTTTGACATTTTCAGCGTTCTCTTCCTTATCGCTAGTACGGTTTTGGTTAAAATTTTGCCAAACCTTTAACCGTTAACTCACCGTCCTCATAGTTTTTGAAGGAAACAGAATGTGACCCTGAACCACTGCAGCAGTGAGTACAGCCGTTGGTCGGGGCAGCTGGGCAGTAGGTGAGGTCACTGCGGCCCCTGTGGGCAAAAAAAAAAAACATCTAAAAGTTCAATCTTACCTCTTCAAGGTTCGAATCCACCAACTAAAGGAAGCATCTTAGCCCCAGAATGTGAACCTATGTAAAGGTTCGAATCCACCAACTGCCAGGTTACCACTGAGATGCACTGAGCATGGCATCGTCCTCAAGCACTGCTCCCCGAGCGCTGACCACGGCTGACCACTGTTCACTTGGTGATGGGTTAAATACAGAGGTTAAATTTCGTTGTGCTGTGCTGTGCTGTGTCACAATGACAAATAAAGATAAGTTTAAGTTTAAATGTGTGTGTGTGTGTGTGTGTCTAAAACAACATGACCTTTTTATGATTATGAACAAATACAGGTTTAAAATGAAAAAAACTAAGATTACAGGAGAGTTTCTAATATGTTTCCATTCACTCACTGAAGTGCTGATCACTTTGGTAAAGATTTTAAAGAATATATTAGTCTGCGTTTTCAGCGGTCTTAAGGTCTGTGGTTGGTATCTGTTAAAGTGTGCGTCGAACATTTAACCGTTTTAAATCATTGTTTTGAGAAGATAAATGCTAAATGAGTGACGAGTTCCATCCTCGACGCTTAAAGAGCTCAGAGAAAATTGACGTCGTCGTAATTTAATAAATGATGTCGTCAGTTTGGTTAAAAAACGGTGCTTTTTACAAACGTTTATTATAGTTTTTTTTTTGTCTTTTTATTCTCTATATTTGTAAATTTGGACTTATCGCAGCTTCTCCTGGTCCAAACATTTCCTCTGGTCTTCCTTCCACTGGTGTCGGATTGTTTACTGTTACGTAATTATGCAGAAGTATGGGGGCGTGGCTTCTACTTTTACGCTTGCGCAGAAGAATGGACCAATCGATGCGTCTTCCTTACCTGGCGATGACGTTGTTTTGACCTGAAGCAAGTCGTTGATGTGGAGAAAACATCCATGTTTATTTATGATGGTTTTGTTTATTCACAACAACTTTAGTGAATAGTGAATAGATGAATATGTGCGTTTGATTAATGGACTAACTTCATGAGACAATGTTTGACAAAAAAAGTCAAGAGATGTCACTAAGTTTGTGTTGATATTGTAAATGTTTGTGAAGCTGAGTCTGGTCCAGACACAGTGTCCAGTTTCAGGTCTGTTATTTTGGGGAGGATTGGCTGTTTTACTGTTGTTTGTTTGTTTGTTTGTTTGTTGACATGAACATCTACATAACATTTTTTTTAAAAGTGAATGTGATTTACTGTCATTCTGGCACAGCACACAGCCCAGCCTCTGTGGGGACTTGGACTCAAACCACTGAGCCACCGCTGCCCCACAAACATTCATGACTCGACCTATGACCCCACGTAGAGGCCATACCTTCATATTAACATCCACTGTCGTTGTCGTGACAGTGGATTTAACAGACTTGTCACACGACGACTCCAACCGTTCCTGGTCCTATTCTGAAGTATACATATATATATATATATATAGACGTGTGTCCCTCGTGATGCAGGCGTGTGTTCATTGGTCTTTTGAGTCACAGTGTTTTAAACTCTGACATAGATCAGAGAGCAGATTAAAGTCGACGCTGCTGTCAATCATTCACCCTGTACTGCTGTCATTAGTTGAACTCTTACACACGGCAGGTATTAAAGGTCTGTCGTTACGTCTGAGCGCTGTAGAAACTCTCTGCTACCATCGACACAGCACCAGAACCTTCCAGCCATGGCCCACTTCCTGTACCTGTCAGCTGAGACCTGGACGCTCCTGGTCGCCTTCATCACACTTTTAGTAGTGTAAGTCACTGAGCTCGTCTGACCTTTCTGTTGTCTGTGACAGAATTGGTTTTGATTGATTATTTTTCTTATTTTTCCTCCTCACAGATATGCCTACTGGCCATATGGAGTGTTCAAACGACTGGGCATCCCTGGTCCCAAACCAGTGATGTTTTTTGGCACCATGTTGGGATACAGAGAGGTGTGTAGCTGTTGACCTTAACCCTTCCACCACTTCAGAGTTTTGATAACGAACAACATTATTTAAAAATGTTAATTCAGCACATTTTTGATCAGGGTTGATGTGAACATCTGGTATTTAGAGAAATCTCTCTACATGTTGTACTTGGTGTGGACTAAAATGTGTTTCTTTGATCAGGGCTTCATTAAGTTTGACGAGGAATGCTTCAAGAAATATGGACGAACGTGGGGGTAAAACTTCACACGACTGTTACACAGTACCTCCTGCAAACATTCGTAATGAGTCCTGTCACATCCATCGTCGTGTCTGTCTGAGACAGATAGAAAGCTACGACCTAATGTTGTTTCGTTTGTTTATTTTCAGCATTTATGACGGCCGTCTGCCGGCGCTGTGTATCACAGACCCTGCCACCATCAAAACTGTTCTGGTCAAAGAGTGTTACAACCTGTTTACCAACCGCAGAGTACGTACACACACACACACACACACACACACACACACACATATACATCTGTACAGATATATTTATGTGTGTTTGCATAATTGAAGAAAGTAACTTAAGAAAGTCTAATGTTAACCTTAAACTGTTGACTGTCGGCGGTCCACGTGTCTTCACTGTCTGTTCCAGAACTTCCATCTGAACGGACCGCTGTACGACGCCGTCAGCATCGCGGAGGACGAGCAGTGGAAGAGGATCCGTGGAATCCTTTCTCCCTTCTTCACCTCAGGGAGACTGAAGGAGGTAACGTTCCTGTCTGTGATGAAAAAAACCTTCTTTTAACAACAAATGACTGGACAGTAACAACTGCTGTGTTGAAATGTACACTTTTTCTAGGATAAAACTTAGAAGACGATGTATCTTATCTTACTAACATGGATTAAAATAAAATCCCAAGTCAACAAAAAGTCCACACACACAAGAGTAAAACAATCATTAAAATAAACACAATAATAACAAATGATACTTTTTTGCAAAAACATCAACAGGGGCCTCTATGGGCCAACAGAGGTACTGCACATTATGATTTATGAGTTTTGTTGCTTTAAAAAAAACAAAACAACTTTTATCTCACAACCATCAAATCCCCTGGGATTTTCCTCACTGGTGCTTTTATTCTGAAAGTCTTTTGTGCAGGACATGTGTGTAGCTCTAGCAGACCGTCACTCACTACTGTTAAATGGTTGCTCCAGATGTTTGTCCTGATGAAGCAGCACTCGGCCAACCTGATCAGCAGCATGAAGAAGAAGGTGGAGAAGGACGAGCCGCTGGAGCTGAAGGAGTGAGAAGCTTCATCTTCACACAGACCATGTTCCATCAGAGCATAACAAACATGTGATCCACAGTCTGAGCGCTGTGCTCACTCCGCAGGTTCTTTGGTCCCTTCAGCATGGACACGGTGACCAGCTCAGCCTTCAGTGTTGACATCGACTCTCTGAACAACCCTGCCGACCCCTTCGTCAGCAACATCAAGAAGATGCTGAAGTTTGACATTTTCAGCGTTCTCTTCCTTATCGCTAGTACGGTTTTGGTTAAAATTTTGCCAAACCTTTAACCGTTAACTCACCGTCCTCATAGTTTTATTCATTCATTTTGTGTTCTTTTTTTTGTTTGTTTTTAATCCACAGCTTTCTTCCCCTTCCTCGTCCCTCTGTTTGAAAAGATGGAGCTCTCCATGTTCCCTGCCTCAGTCACACGCTTCTTTTACTCTTCACTGCAGAAAATCAAGGAAGACAGAGAGACAAGCAAACAGAAGGTACGACGTGTGAAGGTTGTCATCATCCATCCACCCAACCATCATCCATGGTTTTCATATCTGTGGGGTTTTTTTCAGGGTCGAGTCGACTTCCTCCAGTTAATGATCGACTCCCAGAAAAACAACACATCAGAAGAAATTAAAGGTGATTCAGACGTGACCAGATGTTTCCCTTCATCGCTGCTCAAAGCACACA